TGAAGCGCTTAAGAACAATACGATGCGGTATAATAACGACGTCGGCATTTGCCATTTACCTTTTAGTGAGATTCAAGTAATCACCCACTTCATCGTCATAACCGACGAGTAAATTATTCTCTTCGCCGCAATGCGCTATTATTTTGCTGGGATAGTAAAAATTAATCGGCTCAGGCATTGAGTTGCATCGGGAAAAATAAGATAGACGAAGCGCGCATTTGTTCCTTTTTCTTCATAGAAGAAATGAATTCCTTCATTAACTCAATTTGCGTTCAATTTAATTCAAAATATTTCCATCCGCAAATCGAAAACTTAATACTTAAATATACTTACTTTAGTCTCGATCGCGTTAACCTGATATTCGAAATAAGAAATAAATTGAATAGAAATTCGAAGACTGAATTTAAAAACGTATCTTTTTACACAATTATTAAACATCTTTTACTTCATCGAATATTCCGCAGAAAATACACTTTGTGTTAAAAACGTATATTACATCGAAAATTCTGGTAGATAAAATTGACTTACATATAAATTATTAAGTTGATAATTCGTAAAATATCAGATATACAATTCTCGTAGAAAAATTAATCCCGATTTGTCGCGCGAATTAAAATATGTTTAAAATTGGTGACGCCGCGGATTTATAAATTATAACGCGCTTTATTGACATCTCGCCCAATATTTCCTAACAATAAGCGTAAAGCTGATAAATTGCGCTTTAAATAATATTGAGTGCCGGATGAAACAATGAAAATTCGCAAATGAACGTTTTATGGGTTATACGCAAATTTAATGTCATATCACGTATAGCCCCGCTAAATAATGCCAACTAACAACGTAAAATATATTGGCCGAACGTAAATAATATGCGTACAAGTATGCGTCGACCATACGCGATGCACGTGTACATATGTGAATGACTCGAAAACTGAGAGCAATTCCGCACACATGTGGAATGTGCAAGTGCATAAATACGCAACGAGAGAGACAGACGGACAAAGAGAGAGAGAGAGCTATATATACATATTCCTCACTCGTATCATTCGCAAAACCGACGTATCGATAACGCGCGTGCTTGTTAATTAACCTTCGTAACCCCTATATATATAATATATATATATATATATATATATATATATATATATGTGTGTATATATGTGTGTATATATATTCAACTCGCATACATTAGTCCATACGTCACCGGATGGTAATTTTATACGCTCAGATAGACATGAAGATAAAATTTCAAAAAATTGAATACTTACAAATTCCATTCATATGGAATATCGCGTAATGAAAAATGCAGTTATACCGCAAAGTAAAAAAAAAAAAAAAAAAAAAGTTATTATCTCGTCTTCGCGAAGTCTTGCGTCTCGCTCTACGAGTTTTCGGACGAAGAGGTAAGATCGTTCGACCGAAATTCTATTTGTAATACGAATGGCAAGCGATATAATGCACCGGGCGTACTTAAAGCCGTGCTGGAAGCATCGATCAGAGACCGATCCTCAATCCGATGGCTCGTAAAGCGTATAGAGTTCATATATTTCGTTGTCTTGGGATGCGAGAGAGAGAGAGAGAGAGGAGATAGGGTGGAAAAGGGGTAGCGCTTTTCGCGTTACGACATCCAGCTGCAGAGTCTGAGAAAAATGACCCGTCTCGCTGTCTCTCTCTCTCTCTCTCTCTCTCTCTCTCTCTCTCTCTCTCTCTTCTCTCGTAAACGAAAAATCCGGCGTCCCCGACGATATATCAGATCACGTCGCGTCTAAAACCGATGGTGCAACTTTTGTCCAATAACGCGATACGTAAACGTCCGTATATACATATATATATATATATATATATATATATATATAAATGCGAAACCCTCCCCTGCGAGTGGATAGATATATTTGCCCCCCGTATATCGGGGGCTTATATTCTTTTGACTCCCGATTTTTACGCTACAGAGCAGTTCGGCGACATTATTCTTTCGCGAATTGCCGAATGCGTTTTAAAAGTGGCTCTTTGTCGTAACCAGAATCGCCGGCGAACACTTCTGCGGTACATAAAATCGAAATAAGGTCGAACAAAGACAGGCAGGTTTGTCTCTGATCCAGTTTTAAATCGCCAGACGATAAAAAAATAGCTTACACAATTTTTTGCTTGAAAGATTGAAACGGATTTTTTTTAACATCTCAAATACATTTCGAAAATAAAAAATGAGAAGAAACTTTTAATATTATCGTACTGTCATGTCGAAATAACGAACAGAATAAATATGGCATGCGTCAACATTTTATTGACACATCGCTATGTATATATAGCGATATCGGTATATATATATACATATATATATACATCACTGTCAATATCATCAGTGACATGAGGTCTGACAGATTTTTATATCGCACATTTAAATTAGCTCTTCTGCAATTCTATATATCATAACAACAATTGCAATTTTGCGATACATTTTCTTACGTCAATTTTTTTTTTCGTAAACTTAAATTTAAGAGCGACGTAAGGAATAAGAATGGTATTGTAGATGGCAATATCTTGTAAAATATATATATGTATATATACATATATATATACATCACTGTCAATATCATCAGTGACATGAGGTCTGACAGATTTTGATATCGCACATTTAAATTAGCTCTTCTGCAATTCTATATCATAACAACAATTGCAATTTTGCGATACATTTTCTTACGTCAATTTTTTTTTTCGTAAACTTAAATTTAAGAGCGACGTAAGGAATAAGAATGGTATTGTAGATGGCAATATCTTGTAAAATACACACACACACACTAATATGCGATTCTCTTTACGTGTGCGAACGTCACTATGTTGGAAGGAAAGGCGAACCTGTGGGACACCCCTAGTACATGCCAGCAAAAACCTATAATACGGCACACACATCAAGCTTTTTTCCCCTCTTTTTTCCTATTGCCCTCGTATAAGGTTCGGAAGAGAAAATGATATAGGTTAAAAATACGTGAGCGAAATATTTTACGCGCGTCCCCGCGGCCAGTCTCGGAAATACGGGAAGTATCAGCAAAGCGCGAGTTCCTATTCTCGAACGAAACCGACAGACTTCCTCCGGCTGGGAAGGGAAAAAGATCGACTCTGGAAGCTATATCGCGTTTTTACAAAGAATCCTGCGATAGATATATGGCCGGGTATCAGGAGTCACGTGCGTGTTACACGGAAAGGTATAGGATTGCGTTTTTCGAGTCTGTTAGATAACACACAGTTAGGAAAGCCAGGGGAGATAGTTGAATTACGTTTAGAAGATTGGGCTATAATATAAATCGCCGATCGTGTGAAAATTCGCAATTAGCAGAGGATATGTTATCTGAGGAATCTCTCAATTTGATTGCTGCGAGAAATAGAATTTCGAAATTTTATTTTTTTCCTTTCTCGAAAATATATTAGGATTCTTTAATTTTTAACATAGTTCTTTTCATAGAGATTTTTCATTCAATTTTTTTAATACAAATTTAATTTTAATTTAATCAGAAATAGGTTTGGATTAAATTAGAATTTTTTTCGAGGTAAAGGAGAAAGGGACGAAACTCTTTTACGATAATAATTTATCAAATTGAGAGGGAAATAACATTTTTGTTCGTATATAATGAAATTAATTCCATCTCAATTTTTTCTTTTTTCGAACAAAAATATTTCTTCCGTCATCTCGTCATGCTGCTATATAAAGATAACGCGATACAATGTAGAGAACAACAAGCACTACTCGAATAAGCGTACTTTTTGATCGATATAAAATAAAAAAATAAAAACGTAGATATTTGAAAATTGCCAGATAGAATTAAAAAAAAAAAAAGTAAGACTCTTCTCTCGACCGTATTGGCAAATATTATTTATTCAATCACAACGTTTCGACCCTTCTTTGAGTCCTCGAGTGATCTAGATATACATAGAGAAGAAATACAGTACAGAGATTAATACAATAAAAAAATTACTTCATTTAACGATATTACAAAATAATAAAATGAAGCGAAACATACTTGTGAAAATAAAAATAAAATTATAATTTTAAGATGTCAAGAACGAACATAGTGTCGGTTTGACAACACGTCAAGACTCTTAAACGAGTTATGAGAAACTGTCTCTCATAACTCGTCTAAGAGTCTTGACGTGTTGTCAAACCGACACTATGTTCGTTCTTGACATCTTAAAATTATAATTTTATTTTTATTTTCACAAATCACTTGATTAGGACTCAAAGAAGGGTCGTAACGTTGTGATTGAATAAATAATATTTGCCAGTACGGTCGAGAGAAGAGAGCCTTACTTTTTTTTTATAAAATAAAAATATACAGTATGAGAGACGCAAGAGAAAGGCATACTTGCGCTCTTTAGGAAACAAAGAATAAGGCCGACGATAGGATAAAAATGCGAAGAGCCATACTTTTACGGCTTTTCGTAATGTGCGGAACATATGGCACTTATGGCGGCTCTCTCGTTCCTTTCAGGGAGCACTGACTTCTACTTTACTCTTCGACGTTTCGGTATTCCGTCCACACGCGCCAAAATCACCAGGTGGTGAGAAAAAAAACTTGAATGAAAGACGACTCTCGAGACGTCTCGCGATACTTACATACTTCTTTCCTTTTTGTTAAAGGGAAGAAAAAGAGGCAAAAGAAACTTGATTAAGTAAATGAGAAATAAGAATTATTTCATATCCCGTGAACTGAAGATCTGTGAGTGAAAATAATAAGTACAAAAAATGTATCATGAAGCATGCAGTCAAAAGGAATTAAATTATGTTCGCGCAAGTATTGCATGAAACTTTGATGTGGCTAAATTTAATTGAAAATTGAATTTACTTGCTATATTAAATTTAATATATTAATAGATTATTATTTGTATATATTAATACATACATATATATGTAATAAAATATTTTACATACATTAACAGAATATTTTATATATAATAAATGAACAATATATTAATATATTAATATATAATATATATTAATATATAATATATTAATATAGAGATGGACAAGAAGTTTCCTCAGTCCTATTACTATTGATAAATTCATCTTCTTCGCGTTCGACACACTGAGAACTTTTGCTGAATATCTCCTCGTCGACACGATCCTTCGTTAAGGAACAACTCGAACCAAAAGCAATATTTCGAAAATACGGCACAATAATCCGCTTCCTCATGCACTGTTTATACCACTCATATTCCTCCTTCATCGGGCCTCTTTGTCGAAGTAACTCCGCAAGACGGCTCGACTGTCGAGGTGCTTTCGTGCTCACTTTAATGAGCTTACCCTGAAGGCTTCTGACGTACGTCTCGACGTCGATGCTTCCCTTAACGCCAAGAGCCAGCTCTCGTAGGCTGCTCTCCGAACTCCCGTAATCATTTTCAACTTCGCAGGGTCGACTGCTTCCAGTCTTCGCGCAAAATAGCCGGCATTTGTCACCATCACGGAACACCTGGGTGGTGGAAGAGGAGGATGAGGAAGAAGAAGAAGAAGTGTAATCGGAGAAAATGGGCAACCTCGCGCGTAATATCACCGAATAACCCGAGAATTTCAACGAAATCAACTATCAGGTTTGCGAAAACAATTAACAGAATTAAATTAAACTGAGATATTTATGTATATGTGCGTGAGACTTTGTGCCTCTGCATAATTAAGCTTGATTAATAGCTCTTGCAATGCTTTTGGTTATTACAGAAATATAATTTCAGTGACACGTACATATACGAATAAATTCGTTCGGATCGCGAATATAATGACGAATTTAATGACAGGCTTTAACGAATATCCGTATTAAACGTGTTTGCTCTTACGGATATCCAATAGCGTCCCATAACTCTCTGCATATCGATCAGGGCGTTTCTGTCTGCCTCTTTAATACCGAAGAAGACGCGCACTCGCAATAACTTGGGCAACGGCTGCTCATTTCGCTTTGCTAAAACTTTGCTGCGGATTCTTTCAGGAACTCTCTGATCTTTTCTGCCAAAGGGGAACAGCCAGTTATACGGAAATGAATAAGTGCTCCTCGGTAATTCAGTTTCACCGTAATCCGTCCGCTTGTGGGATCTGATCTACGCACATTTTTATCGGTCGTTCAATTCACCAACCCTTAGCGACACCAGAACAAATATATAAATCTATCGGAAAAATTTCAAACATTTTTTAAAATTACTTCGAGTACCCGATACTCATTTATCAGACAGAAATGTTAAAAATAATATTATATCAATCTAATTGCACAATTGTAATTTTTTTAACTCGTCCGCTTGTCGGATCTGATCTACGCACATTTTTATCGGTCGTTCAATTCACCAACTCTTTAGCGACATCAAAACAGATATATAAATCTATCGGAAAAATTTCGAACATTTTTTAAAATTACTTCGAGTACCCGATACTCATTTATCAGACAGAAATATTAAAAATAATATATCAATCTAGTTGCACAATTGTAATTTTTTTAACCCGTCCGCTTGTGGGATCTGATCTACGCACATTTTTATCGGTCGTTCAATTCACCAACCCTTAGCGACACCAGAACAAATATATAAATCTATCGGAAAAATTTCAAACATTTTTTAAAATTACTTCGAGTACCCGATACTCATTTATCAGACAGAAATATTAAAAATAATATATCAATCTAGTTGCACAATTGTAATTTTTTTAACTCGTCCGCTTGTCGGATCTGATCTACGCACATTTTTATCGGTCGTTCAATTCACCAACCCTTAGCGACATCAAAACAGATATATAAATCTATCGAAAAAATTTCGAACATTTTTACCATTTTTAAAATTGCTTCGAGTACCTGGATACTCATTTATCGAACAAAAGTGTTAAAAATAATATATCAATTGTTGCGCAGTTGTAATTGTTTTTAGAAAACCGCGTGAGAGGTAAAGAGATTACAAGATCCGACTGGACGAAATGTAATAATCTATAATCAATTATATACATATATGTGTGTGAAAGAAAAGCGGGCATATTATGTGCGCTGTCGTGATTATCCAACCCGATATTGACAGAATCCCGATATTTCCTTTGATCCCGACTCCGGTTCCATTGGCACAAATGTAATCAAGCGACGAAGTTCCGGTTGACGTGAAATTGGATACTGGATCATGCTCGTCTCGTCGCCGAAGACGGCTGCCAGCTCGCGGGCTCTAACCGATCGATGAAGGTACTCGCAAGCTGTCAGATCGCGATTCATCGCGAAAATTCTGTATTGACTTCTCGCAGGAAACTTGAGCATTTCGCAATATCGTCCGTGTTTGCGACGGATCCTTGTCCCCGAGTCGGCATCCTCTTCCTCATCCACCCTTTCGTCGCCTCCTCTTTCTCCTCCTAGTCCTTCATCTTCCTTCCGTATATGCGGGCGACGATAACTCGTGGTACCGTCGCTTTTAACCTCGAGCACATTCCCAAGAATATCGATAGTCCTGAGAATCGTTCGCGCACCGACGTTGTCGTCGTCGTCGGACGATTTCCGAAACTTATAAGTCGATATCGACTCTCCGCCACAGGTAGCACATATCTCCGAGAGCGTCGTCACGTCGTCGCGAATCTAACGATATCGCGAAATCATTTTGAGGGCTGGAAAAATTTCGTCCCCTATATCTTATTTTCAAATATTAGCTTAAATAATTTTGACGTACAGAAAACACACATAGTTGTTTTTAAGACAAAAATATTTTGTTCCAAAACGCGACGACTTCCTTATTTATTCAAGTCTTAATTATTCTGTCACAGATAGCGCATATCTCCGAGAGCGTCGTCACGTCGTCGCGAATTTTAACGATATCGCGAAATCATTTTGAGGGCTGGAAAAATTTCGTCCCCTATATCTTATTTTCAAATATTAGCTTAAATAATTTTGACGTACAGAAAATACACATAGTTGTTTTTAAGACAAAAATATTTTGTTCCAAAACGCGACGACTTCCTTATTTATTCAAGTCTTAATTATTCTGTCACAGATAGCGCATATCTCCGAGAGCGTCGTCACGTCGTCGCGAATTTTAACGATATCGCGAAATCATTTTGAGGGCTGGAAAAATTTCGTCCCCTATATCTTATTTTCAAATATTAGCTTAAATAATTTTGACGTACAGAAAACACACATAGTTGTTTTTAAGACAAAAATATTTTGTTCCAAAACGCGACGACTTCCTTAATTATTCAAGTCTTAATTATTCCGTCACAGATAGCACATATCTCCGAGAGCGTCGTTGCGAATTTAATAATCTCGCGAAATCATTTTGAGGGCTGGAAAAATGTCGTTCCCTATATTCTATTTTAAAATATAGACTTTAAATAACTTTGACGCGCAGGAAACGCACATAATTATTTGTAAGAAAAATAAATATTTTCTTGGAAAACGCGACGACTTTCTGAATGATTCCAGCTTATTTTTTAAAACTAGAATACCTACCCTGTCTCTTCGCCAAAAACTCGCGCGCGAGAAACTCGATAATTACACGTCGTAGTTACCGCTGATATTAATACATCTATGTTATCGAATATCGCACCGCTACTTTGATTACCTTCAGATTAACTTTGTCCCCCATTGAAACTTCGTAATGACCCTCCCCCGATATGCTGACGCGAAGATTGTCGGGCATCGATAAAGAACACCCCACCGCTGACTGATCGTAGGACACGGTGGCGTAATCCTCGTGCTCCATGCGGAAAGTCAACAAGATCGAGACAAAACCGTCGGCGATCGATAGCCCCGTCAGTTTCTCCGGATAATCGACGTGCGACAAAAGCGCGGGTGTGTTTTCGTGGAAGACCTTAATTCGCTCCCTGTAGCCTAAATATCTCCGCAACTCGTCCTCCGACCAGTCGCAGATCACCGGATGTTCCTCTATGATGTAACCAGTAATGATACGCGTGCCGTCTGAAAGAAGAGGAAGATTGATGGGATTGAATGATGTATTAATTTTATCTTACATTGTTATGTATCTCGATCTCGAGACACACGGATTACACGTATACCGGGAAAGATAACGACCAATTCTCCATTTGAACGAAGCAACGTATCAGTACCATCAGCACGGCGTGTGAATACCTCGTTGACCTCGTAGTCGGACACGGTTCTAACGAGCAATCGATCGTGTTCACTTACGACCAGATCGTTCAACACTTCGTAACGCCTGCCGTCGTAATTCACGACTGAGTATCGTAACACTTTAGTCGATCCTGTTATGAGCGGATCGTTCCAGTCGCTCTGAAAGACAATTAAAGGCAGGCAAAATAAAAATTATTTCTTTCAAATGGATATTAAATATCGCTCCTCTTCCACGATGAGACACGGTAAATGCGAATTTTCTTTGCGAAATGAACCAGATTTTATATCTCAATTTATGATCAGAATTATTAATTAGGAGCTGTAGATAAAATTATCTTTAACCCTTCTGTCAATGAACGAATATTCGGAGCAACTTTAATATTAAAAATATCCGTCAGAAATAAAATACAGAGTGTTAGAAAAAATATATTTTATCCGCTTATAGTACTAATTAAGACAAATAAGGAAGTCTTAATTAACATAGGTCCGCAAACTAGCTGTTTCAGAGATAGAATTCATTTTATATTTTAATTATAAAACTGCATTATTTTTTATGTTTAAATACGTAAATAAACAAATATGAAAAATTAAAATATGACAGATGTCACATTTAATTTATTATTATTGTAATTATAAATATGTTATTATTAAAAATATAAAATAATAACGTTATTATTAAAAATATAAAATAATATATAATTAATATAAAGAATGTTTGATGCCCAGTAGCTGTTATAAAAAAATTATCAAAAAGTGTATGAAAAAATACGTAGCTGATAACCAGATACATTGATAGAAAAGTGCAAAATTATGCATCATGACAGAAGGATACAAATCTGAATTACATCATCGTTATTTTGAAACGCTTCCGTGTCTCAATTAGATCGAAACTTAACGATCACGTGTTTTTCAGACGACAATTTATGTCGTTTCGATGGTTCCTCGTCCACGATCGATCCGTTGAAACGCGACTCCGTGGAACCTATGACTTTTTCTCCGCCCTGGGCTACCATCGAGTTGCCCTTTTTGTTCCTAAATTCTGCGCACAGAGGAGAAATGCTCGAAATGTATCCCAAAAAAAAAAAAATTTTTTCTCGTTTCCTCCGTGTTTCTACTACAAAAGTGTATACCTTTTAGGGTGGTCGAGCGAGTGGATTCGTCGTACGATTGCGACTTGTCGAAGTCCATGCACGTCACGATGACGCTATTGGGACGGAGGATGACGACAGTATTGTCGTCCATATGCTTTAAGACGGTTCCGCTTCTAAGAAAGTTCCGACAGACCTCATGAGCTGCTTTTGCGCGCCCGGGACGTTTCGAAACGTACGATTGACGAATGCAAAACGGGTCTTTTGTGCCGTCCCCGACGATGGCTGGTTCTATCCACAATCCGGAAGGCCACGAAGCACGAAAATCGAAAGCCAAATGTTGCCAATGGCAATTGGACGAGCTCCCAACTGCATCTAGAAGACAAAGAAAAAATTATCCGACGAATAAAGATTTTTTTCTGCACTGAAATCTCATTTTATTTACATTTATATTGAATTAGGAATATTTTATATTAAAAAGGAGTCTCATTCTTAAGATAAGAGGATTCTTTTGGTCCCTATTTTGGATAAAACATTCAAACTAAATGAATTCGATAAAATGAAAATATTTGTGAGAGCAATATCTGGTGATTAAAATTCAACAAGTTATTGTTGAAAAACAATCAGCTGTAAATCGATCGAAACGAAATTTTGCCAATACAATTAAATTTAATTTAATTTGATTTTGATTTTGATTTCTTTACAGAGAGTGCATCAAGGGCTGCAATTATGCATAAAACAATCATATATTTCAAAATAATAGTATTAGTATTAAACACGTCGCTTCTCTTTTTGTCAACGTTTGCATAATATTTTCCTCTATCAAGAGAACCAGCCAGGCACAGATATTTCTAAACCAACGTTGCTAAAAATAAGTAAAAAGAACTTCTAAAATAAGAATACATTTTTTTTCAATGCAAAACTGTCTACAACACAGAATCATTTAGTTGCTTCATTTTATATAAGTATATTATTATTTGATAAACATTAGAAGCCATTTAATGTCTCTCTGGAGCGCATACAAATCACAACCAATATAATTAAATTAAATTAATTTGATTTTGATTTTGATTTCTTTACAGAGAGTGCATCAAGGGCTGCAATTATGCATAAAACAATCATATATTTCAAAATAATAGTATTAGTATTAAACACGTCGCTTCTCTTTTTGTCAACGTTTGCATAATATTTTCCTCTATCAAGAGAACCAGCCAGGCACAGATATTTCTAAACCAACGTTGCTAAAAATAAGTAAAAAGAACTTCTAAAATAAGAATACATTTTTTTTCAATGCAAAACTGTCTACAACACAAAATTATTTAGTTGCTTTATTTTATATAAGTATATTATTATTTGATAAACATTAGAAGCCATTTAATGTCCCTCTGGAGCGCATACAAATCACATACCGAACTTCCTGTTTTCATTTCGGCAGAAACCCAATACAATTCCACTCTCCGTAGTTAAGTGAAATGCGTTTGTCGATTGACGGCGACCAACTCCGGTAGACAATCGTAAAGTGCAGCGTTGCAGAGTAATGGAGATGCGTATATCGGTGTCTCGGTGAAGCCAATCCTCGACATCGACTCGCACCGTTGTGTCGTCCAGAAGAAACTTTTTGCTATGATGAATCACTTGCACGCGAAGACTTCCGAGATCGTATCCGACGAAGTCGTAGGAATCCTCGCATCGGGACGATAGAATTTTTTTCATCGACAAGAAGGACGACGTATCGACGTCGTCTATCCTAGTGCCCGATTTTTTCCTCGTCGTTGATGACGAGGTTCTTCCACTCATAACTCTCCCTCCATCCGCCTGTTTGTCCCCGGTTATTGCCTCGTTTATTTTCCTCTCCTCCACCAGCTCCTTAGTTTCGGAAATCCTCCTTTGCGAGTCCTCGCGAGCCAAACTTTTCGCTTTCAGCGAACCCGGAAGCACGAAGCACTCGTCGGCGAATATGATCGCGTCGTCTTCCAGCTCGACGGGTCTCTTCATAAATCTCCCTGTCAGGTCCATCCTAGGCGATTGGCGTGTCTCCCGTTCCATCCAATTCTCTTCCTCTTCCGCGATATATTCGCAGAACTCACCGAGTCCGATGGGCGTTCGTATAGTCGACAAGCGCGTTTCCTCGAACGCATCACCCGTCCGGTTATCATTGCTAAAGTAAAGGAGCATCGAATCCGTCGGTTCGAAGTATCTGCTCGCCAGACGATCGAAGCTCTGGAAACACTCGTAGACGGTCTGAAGAAAAACACGCTTGGGGAGCAGCTCGACGTCTTCGTATTCCTCGAGACTCGATCTCGAGCTTCTCCTTCTCCCGAAGACATTTTCGTGCAAATATCCCGGAAGCAGAGCTTCTCTAGTGTCCGTTAACGCGAATAAGAGCGGACAGTCGGTGAACGCGAGCACCGGCTTGTCATAATCAATCTCGGTGTCGCTCTTGAAACGCCGGAGACTGGATACAGTCAACCTGGATGACGTCGTGAGATCCGACAGGCTGCGCGTTCTCTTAATCACCGATCGTTTTAATTTCGACGAGTCCTTCTTCGAGCTGGCTCTTCCCTCGTTGTCACTCTTGTCACCGGAAAAGATCAATTTGTCGAACACCAATAAATGCAGATAATGCAAGATTTCTTCGCGACCAACCGATGACGATCGATCTCGATTTAATACGTCCGCGATGTTGTCCACATGACAAGAATACATATCGCTCGATACCTCGCGATTCCGCCAAATATCAATTATCCTCGGGTCCCGCAGAACGCGCAGAACCGCGTCGTCCAGCTCTAAGGATTCCCGATCGAGGAAACGACGTACGATCGTCCTCAAGGTGTCCCTGTACAACGTAACTTCGAGATCGGAAGGTAGCAATGATCGACTGGCGCATTCATCGATAAGTTCGTACTCGAGATCAAGCAGCCTGAGCTTGTCCCGAACATCGAATACAGGGATTCCCTCGGCTGTCGTTGATGTATTCGCGTCTCCTTTATCGGCGTCATCGCTAAAACCCGCATTACGTTTGACAGGGACGCATCCATCGCGAGATCCCGCTAGATTAGATTCAACCTGCAAAAGTATCGCGCCCAATAACACTGGTACGTTGATGTATTCGTTAGGTATGTCACTTAACGCGGCCTCGTAGATCCTCGTATCTTCCATTGTTTCGTTCCTCTTATCGAAGATTCTTTTTCCAGTCTCATGCTCTTCAGGTACTTGGCGTGCTGCAGACAAAGATCGTACAGATGATCCAAAGCGCAAAGGGTTCGGTCGTGAACGTCCCGTTTCAAAGACTCCTTCTCGGGGACGTTAAAGGCTTCCGGTGAGACTTCCGGAGAGAGGCTGAGAATAGCTAGATCGGAGTACGTCGGATACGTCGATAGGTGAGCGAATCTCTCGCGTGTGACCGTCCAAAATTTGTACAGCTCGTTCTCGTCCGCACGATAATCTTCGGAGAAGTGTGGAGAAGTGTCGCGACGAACGAGATTTTTTTTCTTTGTCTCGGGACTCGCAATCTCTCGCTCATCGGTGGGTTTAATTTTTAATATACAAATTAGAGGAACTCCGACGTGTAATAGCTCTGCTGGTAAATCGGGATCGTGAAACCCGCTAAGCACAACATAGAGATTCGGTCCGTCAAAAGATATGTCATTCACGTGTGAGTGCGCATTCACTTTGCTGGAGAATGCGTATTTAGTTTGGCTATTGTCGGATCTTCGAGGTCTCACAGCGTTTCTCAAAGAAGCTGAATAATTAAATTAACGCTATTATATATGCAAGTGTGTTGTATCGCGAAACAAGCAAATGATAACAGCGAAGCGTTCAAATTATTTAATTATAAACATTTTAAAAGGAGAAGAATCAAATAAGAGGTACAGTTTATTTAATATTTCGATGCCCAACAGAGCTGCTATAAAGAAATTCCGAAAAATTGTTAATATTATATATTAACAAAAGTTAATTCAAGAATATTACTGAAGTATCTAAAATAAGAAATAAAATATATATATCTAATATAATATAAGATTGCAGTTTATATGGAACAAATAAATGTATGTATTTATTGGGCTGTTATTGTTTAAGACTTATCACATTATTGTTCTGGAAAGAGAAACGACTAGAGCATATGTCGTTTACTTGAGCTGGCAATATTCGAAATTGCCCGATATTCTTCGTCGATTTCGCGGTCCAGATCCTCCTCTACCTCAAGTCTCCGGAGTTGCTCGATTTTCGCGCGATAAATCAGATATTTTATGATCCGTGCAGCAAGCCAGGTGGACAGATGGCCATTGTTTTCGTTTAAGACCGTATTCGCGTAATGACAGATACCCATAATGGCGGGACATTTCTCTGGATCTCGTTTCGACAGCGTTTTCACCGTGTCTATTGCTTTCTGATGGCTGAGGGAATAAATACACGTCCCTTCTTCGGCGGCCTCGTTGAAGAGAGAAACGTAACGGCTGTGCTGGACCATTGTTTCCACCATCATCGTCGTTATGCACCACCAGCGATCATCGTTGATGAATGTGGAATCCAACGCGACACGCCAATCATCTTTATTACGTCTCTTCGGAATTTTATTTACATTAATGCTAGATTTACTAGATTTCTTTTTCATGTCGAGGTTATCTTATATAACCAATGTCTGAGCACACATGATTTAAGAATTACATCACATAAATAAATCGAACAAATGAATAATAAAATTGATCATTTTCGAGTTTTTAATAGACTTAAATCGATAGCTTATTGAGTTTTTATTAGATGAGAAAAGTCTTTATTTTAGTCTCTACACGTTCTACAAACAAAGATCTTATAATACAATCTTTGCAAATAATAATTATTTCTCTAATTGATTTTTGATAAAATATTTCGATACTTAAAATTTCTTGCTTCATACATAAATTTATTTTTCTTTCATTATTTGAATTAAAAATACACAGTAAGACACGAATTATGGGCTCGAATGATTAATGATATAATGACTGGCTTCGTGATATATTAATCACGTGAAATATTAATCACCCAATAATGCAAAACATTCCACTGAATTTCTTAAACGCGATTGCGACAAATATCGGAAAATAATTTGCTATGCTCAATATGATTAATGAGTAATTGACTTTCATAAATACATAATACGCGTATGTACCTACATATAATTGCATATGTATCGCGATGATAGGTCTCGAAGCACGTATTTCGCGTGATTTATTCATTTAATCAAGTAAGAATCGAAGTAACAGGAAATACAAAATTATAAATTACCGTTTTATTGCAATCCTTCGATTATCGATTCTTACTTAATAATAAAAATAATAATTATTTAGTATAATAATTTATTATAAAGATAATAATTATTTAGAATATTTATAATAAAGAAAATAATTATTTAAGATAAATAATCTTTAGAAAAATGTTGGGCGACAAACGGAGCAACAATTGTGCTGTAAGTAATCTATAAATTATTTATCATTTATATTATTTGAGATTTTGTGATATAAAATGTGTTTACATTTGTAGCACAGCGCATTACATTATATACGAATAATGCTGCAAAAACCGATCGACGCGATTTTTTCTTTTTTTCTATGGAACGAATAGAGTAAATCGAGCATTTCACACCGGGACACCAGTAATGGAAAACGTATTACCGGAGTCGTAAGTTTCGTCAGTAGGGACACAAGCTCCCAGACATTATAACGTGGATGTGCAGGCTGTACTTAACGACGAAACTCCGTGGAAACTGTAATTTTCGTGCAAGGGGGACGAAAAAGTAGTCGATGCCGTTGCGCGAAACGCGTCATGCCACGTGTAAAATACGAACGCGGTTGAAAAAGTTAAACAAATGGGACGCCTAAACCCGTTTGTATATGTACATGACATAGACTTACGTGAAACAATTTTCGAACATATGTGCATTTTTGTTAATATTAAAAATATGACAATTTTAATATTATACTTATTTAATTAGATGGTAGTCAAAAGGAAGTAAATTAATTAATAATTATAATGATAATTTTAACTTTTACTTTTCTTGTCGATAAATTTAATATTATTTTACTTAATATTAAATTAACATTGATTCTAACATTTGTTATAATTTATTAAGAGATAAATTTTGAAAGATTAGCTATTTTTCATTATTAATTAATATGTACAATATTTTTTTCTTTATCTTTATTAGTATATATTAAAAAATTATTTAAATTTAATGAATTTTTGATTTAAATTCAATAAAAAGTAAATTTTGATTTTCTAGTTTTAGATTATTAAATTGTATTTATAGTTTTTTATTAAAATTTGATATATAATTTATGTATGTATAATTACCTCAGGTATAAATTATGACGTATGCATAATGTAATGGCAGTTAAATGTTAGTGTCATAATCAACTCTTATTATATATTTACGAAAAATTAAATTATGAATGTATCTTTCTTAGTTTAGTCAACACGAATAAAAACATAATATTTTCCAATGAGCAATATCGACTTTCGAATAAAAATATCATAACACGTATTAAATGTATATAAAAATGTTAGGCGATTTAATTGAAGCAATTACAGACATATGCATTATCTTCCAGGACTTTATAAAAACAGTGCATCCATAAAATAATATCTGTGTTGCGAAAGATAATAAAAGATTACAGATGGAAAAAGACAACAGTTTAAACATACTATTATGAATGTGTAAATAATGGATTAATGGCAAGACAAAATTGCTATCGTGCATAATAACAAGACAAGACACTTTATATATTCTTCCAAACCCTACATCTCGCCTTAGTTAAACGCGACATTGATATCCTCTTTTATTTCCTCAGCCCTTTAGAAGCTACAATATCAGTCATCGCGATTCGTCATTTAAACTGTCAAGATGTCTCGCGAGCGAAAAAAATATTTTTTCGTGCTCACTCGTCTCTACAAACGTTCGATTTCATTGTCGCTCTGTTAAATTCATCACGTTTACAGGAAAGTTGCGCAAAAACGGTATGTGGGACGCGTATAAAGCGCACAGGACTTTAATTAAATTTGATAATGGAAAAGTTTATTGAGAGCTGCAACGAGAGAGCAGAGAGAAAGAGAGAGAGAGAAAGAGAAAGAGAAGGCGAGAGAAGATGGACACGCTAATTGGCCAACAGTTTAGCGTGTCCAGTTAGCTCGTGCAAGTGTGTCATAACAAAAAAGCGCCACCATCCATCCCATTATATTTCAAAACAGCGCGCGTACGTTCACCGCTCTCGCAAGAGAGGTTTGATTTTAATTAAATCATAATGTATTTTGCCGGGATGGCCGGGTTGCATAGCCCCATGCACGACTTTCCAAGAGAGTCTCGCACTCTCTCTCTTCTAGCGCGAGTCTCTCCAAAGCACGTCGTTATCTCAGTTTAGTTCCGGCCGTACTGTTTTCGGAGAGGCGTTGAAACAACGAGGCGCATCGCGATAATGACCGAAGTACTCGCAGAGAATATCATTCGCCACATTTAGTCGTCTTAATCAGCAAATCTTTATGAATCGTTTTCACAAAAAGAGGAAAAAACGCGCAGCAAAAATATATGATAATATTATTTCATCTTGTGTCATACGTATTCGGGAAAGAGTAAAAGTCAATCGTTTCGATTTTTACCATTTATTGTATTTTATACATACAGGGTGTCCCAGAACTAGTAGAAACCTGTTAATGGCAGATTCCGGGGATAATTTGGAGACGATTTTTCCTCAACGAAAATGAGACGTCAATAATTTTTGGGTTATAAGCAATTGAAAATAAGGCGTTTTATTTTAATTTAAAGTTTAATTACGAAGATAGATGATGGCAAAAATTAGGAACATGTAAAAAATGTATATATGATATTTCTGAATTTATTTCTCTAAAAGAATGTATTCCATTTTATAAATACAGAAAATTGTAATTAATATTATATTCTTTGAAAAACTTTTTATCTTTCTCTCTCTCTTTTTATTCGCGGATATGTATTAAATAAACTTTCTATCTTTTTAACTAATTAAATAGTCCTTGAAAACCTTTTACCTTTTCGAAAAATTAATTGTACATCGAAGCTGGCACGTGCACTTGTGTATGTAGATAGCAATTACGAAAATAAATATTTACACAAGATGGTGGGGCGCAGATTACGGCTGCGCGAAAATATTTCATTTTCCCGTAATGCGGTTGGATGCATGAATATATTTTGAGGTGAGTGAATATTAATTGAATTAAATTTCATGTAGAATACGTGGAGATAATATTTCACAAATTCACTAACCATGCTTAATAGAAAAAAAAAAGAAATATATTTAACGTTATAGAGAAAATATTCTCTACCATATTTTCATATCTTTTGTTAATTTATACAATTTTATCTTTGTTGAGAACAAAAGATTGTGTTAATTAATTAAACATTACACTAAAATTTCGAGCAAAATGAAGATTCTCCGGGTATCTGCGAAATCTTAAAATGTAAATCCGCAAAATTTATATGTGTTTGCTCGCGAAATTATACCGTTATCGTTGAGAAATTTTGTCGGTCGTATTTTCCGAGAAGAATGTGCTCGCAAAATTTTCTCCGCTTCGATCCTTGTGAAATATAATGGAGCAAATTACCGGGGATATGAAACGCAGTTAACGGTCGCGCGAGCAGAAAAATGAGTCGAAATTGAATCAATCGATATAGATGCAGCTGTTATCTGTATCAGATAGATATTGCGTGCGATCTTTCTTTTTTATTTTTATTCTTTACGACTTGTTATATAACCTTCTCTTGTGAAAAAACTTTTTGTATATCTCCGTCTGAGCTTCTCTACCTGAAGGTTTGTACTCTCGGAAACACTTCTGACAATTGAGATGCAAAAGAAGAGGGCTAGGAGAATACTTTCCTTGCAGAAGAGGCACCGAGGTAACCAGCAAAGTTCTACTCGAGTTACGAAGAATGAGGAGTATATCTCTCTATATATAATATATTGGACTAGAGATACAAACTTTGGTTATTTTGTAAGTAATATAGTAGATAATGAGAAGTGAGGAAAAATGCGTCTGTGTGTGTATAACCAGTACCAATATATTAAATTATTATACAGATACACTTGCGCATTAGCTTTGCTTCTATCTCATAATCATATTTAACCAAACAGTTACAACGTTGCAATTTCGATTCTCTTTAGCGTTTGAATGTCTGTATTATCGGAAGCCATAAAACGAGTCTCCTCTATACATATATAGCAGCATTGAAGATAGCATCGTTATAGTGCTAAAGCGGCGATTTTTATGTCAAATAAATAAACTCGAAACACTCAGCTCTAAATATTATCGCATTAATGCTATTAAATCATACAGTATAATTAAATAAATAATGCAATTAATGTGTAATGTATAATATTACACTGAGCATGGCGAATTAACGCGTTCATCAAGCATTAATGCGTTACAATGTATATTTATTCCATTTCATTACTACGTAAATAATTAATTGTTTAATTCGAATCGATTGTGTTCGATAGAAGAGCACAGATTAAAAACGGATCTCATCCGGGAAATTATAAATTGTTAAGGGATATTTAAGAGATGTATCACTTGGAAATACGTTCTACTTTCTCTATATTTCAGCCCTCTATT